AGGTTACGTTTTAACTTGCCTATTGAGCTTGCCGATAAGCAAAGCTAGGTCCGCGCTTGCTTTTATAAAAAGGTGGTCCAAAGAGCTTGATGATCCCTACACTACGAAAAGGCTGTTCATGGGCTTGGTTAGACCCATACTCGAGTATGCCTCTGTTGTGTGGTCTCCTTTATATAGGTGCTATGTAGATGCAATTGAATCTGCTCAAAAGCACTGCTTGCTGTTTGCCCTTAGAAAGTTGGGTTGGGATCCGATTGCCTCTCTTCCTCCCTATGAAAATAGGTCGCTTCTGCTGTCCTTACTGTCTCTTGAGAAACGGTTTGTTCTTGGCGTCTCCTTTGTAAGCAAAGTAATAAATGGTGCTATTGACTCGCCTTAATTACTTGGTGTAATAAGCTTTAATGTCCCTAACCGTTTCTCTAGGCACTTTATCTTGGTTAAGCTTAGTCAGTGTAAATATAACTATGAGTTATTTTATCCGCTCCGTGTCGTTTGCAAGAACCTAAATGACGTCTATCACTTATTCTCGTTATCGGACTCTTTAAAGTCCATTAAAGCAACATTACTTAATACGCGCGATTTACCTATGTCGTACTTAAACTAGCTTTTATCCTTAAAAATTCGTTACGATTCGAAAATGAATTGCCGGACTTGTGCTTGTTTGCGATGGTTTAGGGGTTCATTTGCAATTTGGTCCTGTACCGGTTGTAAGTGTGGCTCTATGCTGATTGTGTACATGCTTTTTTTTTTTTCTTTCTTTCTTATTTGTTTTATTGTACTTATACTAAGTTTTATTATTAATTATTATAAGTTTTGCATTAAGAGCCAATTGAACTCGACTGTTATTTGTTTAGTTGACTTTCATGTATAAGTAGAATTAAAATAAATAAATAAAGAAATAAACATTATCCATATATAAATTTTCTAGTTAAGAGGTGAATGGGGAAAAATCTCCATACTAAAGTGAGATGAAGTTCGGAGATGATGTACTGAAGAACAAGCCATTGTAAACTTGTTTTAATATGTCCGCTCTGTAGCCTAGCCAAAGGAGCATTGCTAAGCAAAAATTCGCATTGCCTAAGTATTTATCATTGATAATAAGCACATGTGCTGAGGGGAATATCCAAAGCGGTTTCAATGGATTTTATGAATTATTTGCTATATTCTCATTCTTCGATACTTTACATAAAATACATACTTTGTGTACATTACATCACTTGCGGCCTGCGCGAAGGTATGTAACAACCAGAAGGGCTACGGAAAAATTTTATTTGACCTGCCAAATTCGTATGAAAAGTTTGGTTCGGCTGGGGCAATTTTTTGAACGCCCTCTCGTATAAATGTTTCTACGAAAATTGAATCTTTATATGGTAAAAAGTCATCATATTCAATAGTTCATGGTGAAAATTGGTTCATAATAGCAAATTGACAAAGAAATCAACCTTAACGAATTTGGGCCACGTGGCTCAATACCATAGGATATAAGGATTGTCAAGATATGTAAACCCTTATTTGTCAAAGAGGCCCAACTTTTAATCTCTTATAATGAAAATTTGTTCGTAACATAGTGTAAACATTATGTAGACCAAATTTGAAATGCATGGATCTATTTCTTGGGCCCCACTGCACACAAGATTTCTCATGACTAGTACGCACGTCCGAAAAAAATTGGTCTGTAGTAACAATTGAGCTAAAAAATTCATGGTAGGGAATTTGGATCACATAAGCTTATTTTTTAGACCTTAACATATGTTAATAAATGTGCTAGACGAAATGGTGTAGGATATGTAATAGTCATCATTGCCTGACTATAATATTCTTGCCTATTTTAAAAGCCTTTATAAAATAATTATTCTATAATGATTTTAATAGCATAAAATATATATATATAAAATATATATAAAATGATGTACATATTTATATATAAACACACGGCCCATCATTAAACATGGTGCGCTAATTCGCTTCATGGTATAAGTTGAACGCCAAGACGGACAAACCGACAGGCAAGCCATAACAAAACGTGGATTTGTCTCAAATTCCTTCTGGATGTTGCACAGATGCACACGAACTTGACACATTTTTTTACCACAAGTGATGTACTCTTCTCTATTTTCATTCTTTACCATATTTTTTCCTTTCTTTGGCTTTTCACAATAAAAAACCGCATGGCGTATGCATTACTCACGCATGAACAACCGAATTTGGCTGCTTAAAACTTCAAACAGTGCATGTAAGCATGTATGCGTGCGAATTCGTATGGTTGAAAATGCCAACATTACGTATGAGTGACAAATAATTGTCAACGTATCATTCCTTAGTATCATGCTTTGATTTCTAATACATTATTTATTTGGAAGCATTTGTGATATGTAGCTATTATGGGCTTTTTTGTTTTTTTTAATTTTCTTTCTAAAGAGAATTTTGAATTTTAGTTTTGCACTCTTTTTTTTTTTGTGTTTTTCCTTTTTTGATTTTCTTATATGTTTTTTTTGCACAATATAAAAACTGTTAACCTACTTTTTCAAGTTATTAGTTCTTGGTCTATTGTTTCATTTCGAAAATTTTGTCAAAGTGTGCGTGTACAAATGCGCATATGTGTAAGTGTAACGACTTTTATCAGTGAATGTCCTTAATAGTGTTAGTAGCGACGTGTGTCTCCAATGTACGTATTTTCACATACTTGTTTACAAATGAAACTTTTTTTTTTGTTATATGCCAATGTGAGTACATGTGTAGCTAATAACAGTCTCATACACACCGAGTTCCGATGATATAAATTGAAAATAAAAGAAAAAAAACAAAAAAAATCACAAGGTAATAGAAAAAGAAGGCATTCAGGCAAGAGCAGTACCCTCAAAGTAATTGCAAGGACTTTGCGGTCTATGTAGTCGTGATTAATGTTTCAGTTTAAACCATTTTTTTTTTTTCCTTTCACCATGCGACTCACTAAAGTCATAATAAGAAGCTTCTTTCATTTTTTTTTTTTATTTAAGCACTTCTGCATTTATTTCTTATCATATATAAGGAAGAAATTTGAAAAAAGCAATAAGAGCAAATTGACTGATTCATCATGTAATGACAAACTATAGGCAACCTTCGGAATTTAACGGCTTCATCTGTCTAAGAAATTCAACCAAACGAAACCCATTTGTATGCACAAGCAATCCTGAATGACTTCGAAAGTCTATATCGAGACTGGAGTAGTAGATATGAGAATTTGTGCGTTCTGCAATCTCTACCCCTTGGATAAATTAAGCTCTATCTAACACCTCCAATTACTTACGGATATCTTCACACGTGTAGCTGCCATAGCACGAAGCCTAATGCTTTCGGGTATTCGATATGGCACCGCATTTTGTCACTCTTACATTTGAATTAATCATGCAACGAGTATTGGTAACCAATTTGTGCTTCATAAACTTTCAATGTCTGAAGAGGCGTACCGAGCCAGCATTGCCAGGAACCTTATCACACTACCACTTCTTATAATACATTACAAGCCTATACTCAGTATGGATGATCTTTGTCCATAAAGCACTTTAAAGCACTTGTATCTGTTTTTACGAAATTACACCAAAATCGTCCAAGTTCTAATGTATCGGAAAAATATCACGATGCCTACTAAGAAACGTGTTTGAAGCCAATCAAATGAACACTGAAGCCAGCAGCAAGCCCGGAAAATATGATTTTGAGAAAAATTATGTTAAAATGTGCAAGCTTCAGCACATTGCCACTGAAATTTTTGCCTGCACAGAACGATGATTTTTATGGTTTTCAATATTTTTATGGGCGTGACACTTTCCATCTCGAATTGCTGTTTGTGTCTGTCAGGTTGCGAAAAAAATGCACTTAGAAATATTACCCTTTAGCTCCCTTCGAGAGTTGTCCTACGAACATCAGAAGAAACTTAAATTAATTAGACACAACGGTTGCCTTTCAAGTCTCGAAATTATATACATATATGCTAGGTATTAACATCTTTGAAGGCATTTCAAATGTTACATTAAAAAATTTATTTCAACTATTGTGTAGTAATGAGGTACTTTGATTCTCCTTTTTTTTAAGCGGTGTTCTCTTTTCACTTCACTTCACTTTGTGTGTAAAAATTTTGTAATTCCTATTTTATTGCTTTATACGGTTTAAAAAGCCTAAACAATTGTAAAAGCGTTTAAATTTATTGAATTATGTTGAACTATACTTATCGCATTCTGTTCTATGCATTGATATCATTTTGGTTTCCTTGGTGCTCTCATCAATAAGAGTTTTTCTGGTTTTTTGCTTGTTATTGCTTCCAAACATCTGTCTTGGTTTGCGGTGTTTACAGCTTTATCTTTGTTTACTGTGTTTTTGATAGTGTGAAGTTATATAGTGCGTTATAATTTAAGGGAACAGTTTGAACGTTCGGTTTAACAAGAGAATTAAATATTACAGAAATAGCAAAAACAAACTTATGAAAAGTGGTTCTGCTTACTACTATTTCGCCTATTCTGCTGCAGGGCATAGATTTAATTACCTCAACCACCGATGTTGTGGCAGATACAGTCAGTTTGTAAAAACCTCACCGCGTGTTAATCCTAAGTAATTTTTTAAGCTTGTTAACTCCGAAAGAAAAATCTCCTTATATCCCCCGCATATATCTTTCAATGGCTCCTACTTCTCTGGTGATATTGACACCTCAAATCTCTTTGTTGAATACCTGATAACTAACTCGGTTCTGAGTCCTAATTTGGTTATTTCAGAAAACGACGTTTTAACTGATTTGAAGTCTCTAAAATAGAATTGTGCGCCTGAACCTGATGGAATTCCAAGTCGCCGATATAAAGCATTTTAGTTACGGCTCACTACACTTTTTTCACTTGTTTTTTTTTTTTTTAATAAACGTAAAATTAGACTCTAAGCATTAAAAAAAAAACAAATCAATATCTTAAAATTGTTAGTATACCACATTCAAGATATATGTTTGTTTGTACAGATATGGAATTTTATTAAGTATTTACCTTGAGCTGTGATTTCCTCTTAAGAGAAGCTATAGAACGAGTTTGTTGCCTTAACGTATCCACAATGTTTTCAATTTATCTATGCGATCATTATTGCCGTCAATTAAACATTAACACTTTTATTAGTCTATTTTAATTTGCATTTCTATTGCCGCTGTTCTTATTTATAAATATTAAACGAAATGTTATTTTAAAATATTTTCTCTAAATAAACAAATGCTAAACATATATAAATTTATTACAACCCAACTGTTGAAAAAAATTATTCATTTTCCATTCACGTTAGAACGACCTTTAAATATCCTTTAGATAATGACGTTGTACGTAATACAGGATTCTGGATACGTATAACATAGTGCAACACAGCATTTAAGTAAACGTAAAACAAATAAATGCACTGGCATTATGGTAATATATTTGATCGTATTCTGTTATAATTTGATCGCATTCCTGATAACACTTGATATTTAGCAGAAATGAAGCATAGACGGAGAATAAGTGGAATGACAAAAGCTTTTCAATCAAAATAATGTTATTTACTATAAGAAAATCTAAAGTAAGATAAAAAAAACTCATTAGTCTTGACCGTTTAATGAAAGATTGTGAAGAGAGACAAGTCTTGATTAAAAACAATAGCATTAAGGAAAATGATACTTAAAGATTCGCAACACCATTCATTCAATATCGTTTGAGAGGAAGATTCGCTTTTATTATCAAAAGTAGTGAGCCCGTGTAATTAGCGTCGTATATTAAAAATGCAATTTTTTTAAACAAATGACCCTCGTTTGCACGTCTGCAATGGTACTGACATTGGTATGGATTTCAGTAGGACTAGCTCAACTTGTAATGTAAAGGTAACAAATGTTTTGAAGCTTTGTCTTTTACATACTAAAAAAATGAGGTATACTTCGTATAAAGGGCGTATCAGCGTTATCGCTCGGGTTCTGACATTTTGAAACACGCCTGTCCACGCATGCTTTGCTTAGTGTGAAAGTGGGCATAATCTTTCCGGAAATAACACTTATAACTTAAAAGAACTTCGCCACAATACAACGCAGAACCAGGTGAATTCAAAAATAATACCGATCCACAATTACCAACGTTTGGGGCTTCGCGAAAGTACGCTTGAGAGTCCCTGCATATGCGAACTCTTGATCTTGATTGAGATTCTGATTCCCTATTATTGGGGTATTCAAGGTCGTAAAAGCTAAAATGGAAACCTGACCTGTACTTGACATGTACATTTTTAGTTGATAGCTCGAAGGTGACGGTGGTATTTATGACGATGTCTACAGTAAGCAAATATCTGGTTTGTTACATGCCATACTTACTATTAATCTAAGACTTCAACTATATTAGCGTCAAAATTTCAGTGCAAGAATGGGAGCAACATTAAGCAAAAAAAAATATTTCGTAAGATCAATTGAGGGATCAATGTAAGAAAGTTTTTAAATAGCTATTATATATTGAATTGAAGCGTTAAATGTAAGACTAGCTAAGCAACACAAACAAAACTTTCTGGCATGGGATATTTACCAGTTAATATTAACGTAAGTCCAACAAATGATTTATCTATCATCCGTGAGTAAATTTTCCTAGCAATTGAATCAATGCGTAATAATATATTTCTCGCCCTTTTCGAAAAATTAAAATTATTGTTTTTATGTAGGCACGCCACGGAAAGATGGGGATATATTCATTGTGTCAAAATGTTTGCAACACCTAGAAAAAAACTGAAAAGACTCCGCAAAGAATATACACTTTCTTCTCCAGAATCATATTTTTAATCGATACAAGCGTACCCGTCCGTCGGTCTATCTCTGCGTGATACCCATTTTCTTCGTCGCAAAAATGAAAATATCAACTTGAAATTTCACAAAAAAAATTAGAAGTTCTTGTACCTAGATTGGTATTGACAGTGGGCCGAATCAGCCAAAGTTCACGCCTACAGTACAACGTAAGTTGACACCACCCCGGTTTTTAAGAGCAAAAAAAAAAAAAAAAATGGATTCGTTGTTCGTTATTTATAACCTACATAATGCAAAAAATTGTAAAAATTTACACGTAAATTTTGTAGCCGACCCTATAGTACCTGCACAAAAATACAATAAATTTGCTAGGCCCGCTCAATGTTACAATGTACGAAAATTTCATTTTTTTGTTTTTCGCAACGCTCAAAAGCAAGCTTCAGAGAATCCATAAAGGGCATGCATCCTTAGTCAATGTCAAATTCGCGAGCCCGCTACTAAACATACTACTATTAATACACGTATATTCCACAAAAACGAAAAAAATCAGCCACGCCCATGCAAGATTAGAGGGTATTAAAATTTGATGTTTTCGTTTCTTTTTAGTCCTTTTAAGGAAAAGGGTGCCAAGTGTATAAAAGATTCAGTTTCGGACGAAATTAATTTCCATAGTTGTTGTAAGGGAACATCTTGAACTTCTTCTAAAAGGAATAATTGCTGTTTTTACCGGAGAAAGTAAAAATCATAAGTTCATTTTAAATAACGAAACATGTTTATTTATTTTGACAAAAGCCGGAAAATATGAATTCAGTTATGTGATACATAATTCTTGCAAAGCTTTAACTGTTATAGGCTGAAAGTTGCATGGTTGTCGCTTCTTAAGCCAAAGTAAATGCTTCCCTTTTACAAGATCATCTATGGCATTAGATTAAGAAAATATTTGCGAAATTTAATTTTACAGTCCTGTTTACGGCTTAAAGATAACAAAAACTAGTCAAGCAGTTGAACGGTGGGCCATAGGTATGTATGTAGGTTCTATAAGACGCGTAATGCAAATTGTGTTCTTGAGGATGCAAACCGTATAAAAAATTGAATATAAATTTAGTAGGAGCCTTTTAAGCAGGTGGAGAGGAAGAGAATCGGATATGGCCAAATTGTTGTAATTAAAAATTCATATAAAAGCTAACAATAAAATATTAAAATTCGTTAGAACGTTTATAAATGCATTTACACCTTCAATTTATACGTTTATTGCTTCGAGTTGCAAATTGTTTGACGTTAAAACAAATGAAGACACTTATAGTAGGACGTGGTTAACCTCTACATACACTGCACCACTTTGCTTAATACGATTATTCATATAACGGTTTTTAAAAAAATGGTCCCATATTGGAAGCGATCGAAAAAGTAATCCAATTCGGATAATTTTTAATAGCGTTCGTCCTTGGGCCAAAACATGTCATTGTACCGTAATTCATCAGCAGACTTGCGATCCTAAGTTGAACACAAGAAAACAACAACATTTACAGACGGACGGGCATGCAACCGGGTAACTCTGAATCGATCGGTATAATACAAGGTGAATCTCTTTACCCTTACTGGGTGTTGCGTACGTCCGCACAAACTTAATATACCCACAAATGATATCGAGCATAAAATCGAACTGGTATATTTAGGGACTCTTATATAGAAATTCAATAAACAAGTTCTTTTTCGTTAAACCAATTTGCGAAATGATCAAAAGAAGAAGGAAACAAATGATTTTTAGCTTAGTTGAAACTTCCGGTTATCCTAAAGGGCAAATACCGGAAATGCAGCACAGGCTGTGTAAATTTCGTATGACATACATAAAAATTAGAAAACCATGCACACTAACAAACGAAATGAACAACGAGATATGTAATTAGCATAGAAAACTTGAGATAGAAAAAAAAAAACAATAAAAAAACATACACACACACATGCACACATGCATAAGCAAGTAGCAGCAATTCCTTTATTAGTTTTAGCGAAAGAGCATATAACATATATACGAATTGTTTAATTGGCTGAGTGCACAAAAATAAAACCTTATAAAACCGACACGCGACTATTGCAGGTTAAAAACAGAAAAACGCACACTAGCACTAACTAAGTTCATTTGGGGTGTTTGACCTATAACTGTATGTTTTAGTATAACTTTTCATCTACACCTTTATAACAGAAATGCGGTCAATTGTTCTTTTTTTTCCAATTTTTATTATATTGTTTTTTTGTTTTTTGATGAAAATTCGAAGAAATTTCCACATTTTTTATATTACTTAAATTGAAATTTTTTTTTAATCCATTAATAATTTTCAGCAATGCATTACTTTTTATTCGTAAAAACAAATCGAAAATATCACTCATTAATACATAAAAAAAAAAACCTTTTACATTTTATTGAATTTTCTTTAATAACATAATAACTTCACATACTTCTCTTGTAATAATTTACAATTTGTTCTCCCGAGTTTTATGTCTGTTTTCCTGAGCTGAATATTTGCGAATGATTACGATATCTCTTATAGTATTCATAAACTGAAAAACTTCCTCGTCCTGCTTTGGCAAGAAAAATATTCCGCTCTTAGAGAAATGTAGAAATTATGTTTCGCTCTGGCAAACGAATACAACAGAGCCTTCTTTACCATGTGCACAGTGCAAAAAATTTGATTTGTATAGTATTGTGTGGCTTGTATGATTATCTTACATTGTTATTGCATTGCTTTATGGTAATGCTGTTTACGGATAATGCTCCCGGGCAATTCGATGCATATAGAAGCTATTGGTAAAGAGAAGAATAAAGAAGATTAAGTTCAAAATATTTTATATTAATAAATCGTTTAATTTAAAGAAAGTCAATTTCATATTAATCTCAATAAATTATATTAAACACAAATAAAATATATATGTATATATATATATATATATATATATAATAATAATATTAGAAACAAGTATGGGTTGCAAGTTGAAATTATACTGGAGCAATGACAACGACTTGATTCGAAATCAAAATTTTTTTTAATCTTTTGAAGCTTTTCCCAATGCGTCTTAAAAAAAAACAACAAAACTTCAAAAAAATAAATTATCAAAGCAAGAAGAACCTGCAGAAATACTAAATAAAAGATAGCACATTTTTGCATAAATAAAATTTTGTTTTAATAAATATGTAACACATAAAGATAAAAAATAAACGAGACTCAAAATGTATTTTCTTAAGCTCTTAATCTTTAGAATTTCCCTTTATTTTTTTGCTCAAAACACGGTAAGAAAGAAATGGTTAGCGGAAGAGAGAGAGAGAGAGCGAGGGGGAAGAAAGAAACAAATATGATGAATGAATTTTCAATAAAAAAAAAAATACAACATAAAATTTCTCTTGCACAAATTTCTCTTGCATAAATGTTCTTTAATCCTTTGCGTTTACTCAAACACTGAGTTTTATTTCCCTAACAATTCTACACCCATATTAAATCATTGACATTGATTTGCCCTGGAGAACATTCATTTCATTTGGGCAGAAAAAAGATGTACATTTATATGATCCTCAATTGTTACACAAAATATTTTAATTTATAATTTTGATTATATGAACATAGCGAAACTTTAATATTTTCCTCCTAAATTATACTTATTTTTTTAATTACTCTTTGACTTACTCTTATACTGCTATGTGCACCAATAGCCGAAATATAAATATGAATTGATTTTACGTGTTTTTGCATAGCCGAGCATATAACTTGCATTTCGTTATTGCAACAATCCATATAGTTGGGAGTGTTTTAATTTTGCTGCGTACATTTGCATTGCCAGAACAAGAAAGAACGTCGAAAAAATATTCCCAACACCATGTAATTTTGAAATGGTTTCTTTTAAATTGGTAGTGAAGGTAGCTACACATATAAGCACAAAATTAAGGAAAAATTTCTTTGAAAATTGATTTTTTGAAACAAAAATCAATTAGTAATTCGAAAAAAGAAATGGTTCCCATTGATATATTGAAATATTGAAAGGGAAGCTCAGAAAACCATATACTCTATGATTCGAAAATTCTTTGCCGATGCTTGTTCTTGCTCTTGCTTGTTCCCCAGACATTCAAAACTAAGCTGAGTAAAAAAAGACAAAAAAATTTATAAAATTTATAGGTTTATATTCAAACAAATGAAATAATTAATACTTTTGCTACTTTACAGAAAGAATATTACGTGAGACATAAAGCTCTTTTAACAGATTAGGTGAAACTTAAAGCTCTTTTAACAGATTACGTGAGACTTAAAACTATTTTAACAGATCTCTATGCTAATTTGCAAAGCCGTCGGCAAAAGTCCCCAATTTGAGTAAGAATCTCTGGAGATAATTAATGGGGCTTGGTAACTCTGTGTCTATTCAATTTATGCTCTTCTAAGCAACATCCCTGTCAATAACGATGCTTACTCATATGTGCATTTTTGGAACTAATTCCTTAGAATTTATTGGATTTAATTTTAACACGCAGAATTCTTAAGTAAACAACTGCTATACAGCCTACTATACATTGATTAATCCGCTTCATTCATTATGTTACGATTTGAACCGATATGGTAAGAAAAATCTTTGTAAAATACTTTTTTTTTGCAGCTGTGTCTTAAATATTGTGACAAAGTAGAATAGAACAAATTTTATTTTTTTTTAAACTAAATAATAATATATTGTTATCTATAGAAATGAAAGGAAATATAAAATGAATAAAACAGACGAAAAGAGACTAGGCCTTACCTAGACATAGAACCTAGATAAATTATTTTAAAAACAAATAAACCAGAGTATGTAAAAAAGATCCAAAACGCGAATTCGATAGCGATGGTTCTTTCGAATTTTTTTGGTGCACAAGACATGCCACCCTACACTTAACTGAATATCACTGATATAACGGCTGTGACAGGGTTTAATCAGAGATAGTACAAAATTTCATTTCATGGCTCCACTAAGCGAATTGAAGGGAAAGTTGAGAGAAATGTCTTTCAATGCAGTATTTATACCACTTTTTTTGCGTTTATTATATATAAACGAGCAAGCCAACAAAGATTTACTTTTCATCTTAATCAAAGCTAGTAAATATATTAAAAATTAGATATTGTTGTAGTAATATGTAAAAAATTTTCATAGGAATTTGAAATATGGTGTCAGTGCTTACAAATGTTCCAAATTTATTTAGTGTATCAAGACGCATTAACAATAAGATACTAAAAATTTGCATAATTTAATGTTGATATAATGTACTATATCTACACAAAGGCGGTACATCAGAATATATAAAATTAATCTTTTCACAATTGCAACCCTGTTTTTCATTCGTTTCCACTGGTTTGTTTTGTTCTCTCGAATGAATATGACGTCCATTTTTATTGAGCTAAGCATACATTGGCAGACAGTTACTTGAAAGTTATATTAAAGCAACGATGGCTATTAACTTATTGATAATTTTGGCCAGCATTTACCAATATTGAATTATAACTATGAGTAAAATGTGATAAATTAAAGATAGACAAAGTGGATTTAGTGAACATTTAATAAAAGTAAAATGCAACAAAAGTAAACTCAAAGTTGCCGGGTAAGTAATAGTTTTTAAGGAAGACATTACACCAACAACGTCAAATATATAAACGTGGGTGCGCACTTTTTATAACTAATTGTGATTTTAATATGTATGAACCAAATTAAAATGGTTTGTTCGAGTAGTTTTGACCATTTTTCTTCGGTCTTTTGTGAATTTACTATTTTTTAGTAATTTTTTTTTTTTTTTTTGGCGCAATTTGCCTCTCCCTTTTTTTACATTGATTTCACGCAAGGTTAATATTAATTTCTGGCCTGGAAAGTAAAAGTGTAAAAAGGACGACCATACGTAATAATTTAAAATCTGTATGTGCAACAATTTTTTCGTATGTTTTCTTTATCATATGCTTTTATCAAACAATTTCTTATATCGAATCGTTCGCCGGTAAAAAGAATGTAAAGTGAAGTCATAACAACCGATAAAAGTAAAGGCTTATAACACAAAGGAATATAAACACCTGCTTTACCGCTTAAGTTGCTTTATCTACCACAAAGTATAAAACTTCATAGCATGACCCTTTCGATGAGGTGCCCAACTCATTTCCCTCAGCGATTTTCAAGAAAGGTGAAACAAGGCCAGACATAACGCATCCTAGTCCTGAATTCCCCGGTGCACTAAGTGCTTTATATCTATATGCAAACCCTCCACCCATAGCATATGATACTCCAGCACCAAAGATTCCAGAAGCTACACATACGGGAAGGCAAAAGTGAAATAATTCGTATATTTTACGCGTAATATTAATATGGAGGAATATTTATTTTTATATGTAAATGGTTGCGAGAATAAGTGTTAAAATTTGCTACAATTTTTATGTATTACAAAAAGATCGCCAGAAAAGCAACCGTGTGTTCGGTAGAGCAACGTTTTAACGGGAAACCATAAAGAAAAGAAAACCACATCTAGAGTAGATATCATTTGTTTATCAGGGAATTCAATGTTTTTTCTTTTTTGTCAATTAAGTAAAAAAATTTAATTTAAAGCAACAAAGAAATGTGTTCTAAAAACCAAAAAAAAAAAAACGTAAGTGGATTTTCTTTTGACTTGTCAACATGTGCGTGAAAACTTAGTGTAATGGAAGTTTCTCTTTTATTTTGTATTGTAGTTCGATATTGTGAGTTCGATTAAAAACGTTATTTGCTTTTAAAACCAGGCTGAATAATTACCGTGAGTATTATTGCGAAATTTCTTAAAATGGCAAACGAATCAACTTTTTTGCGATTAAACCGTGGACAGTACTTGATTAAAAAGGTCAAATTCGGATGAAAAGTCTTGATGTTGAATTTCGAGAAGCGTTCAGATTCTTAGTTTTATTCTTGTATATATACAAATCTTTTAAACAGTAAAAAAAGATGCCGATTTAGGTTCATGGCTTGTGCCAGCTAAACCTTATGAAGTAAAGAATTCACAAGATTTCCCAAATGTCAATATGAAAGCGGAAATTATGTATATGCTTTATTACCACATTCATAACACAACTGCATGATCATCACATTCCGTGAGTTCAAAGACCTTCAAGGCGGCAGCGAACGGTAAAATAGAAGATGGGGTACGTGGGGTTCATTGTTAACGTTTGACGGAAGGACCGCCAAGAAATTGATTTTTCTGTGAAGATTAAAATAAAGATTTTTGCTTATGCCAAATTTGAATTTCTAACGCTTAGTTGTATATATATCACAAACATCACTTATAAAAGTCAGTGAAATTATTTGCTCCGTTTACGGAGAAGGCTAGGTGATAAGGCGCTCCAAAAATACTTGAATATGAAAGTAGAAGGGTTTAACTAAATTGTCATGCCGTTTAAGAGCTTCAAAATGAGTAGAATATTAAAAATCTCTCCAAGAATTACTTTCTAAAATGAAATCATAAACAAAGGCAAAAGTTGTGTTTATCCAATATGCTTACGCTTATTGGGTACTTACGACATATACGTTTAGATATTGCAAGTAAACGAAATGAATCCACTATAACCTTTCAGATGAGTTGACAAATTCGAAACTTTTTCTGATGTATATACAAACCGTGTGGATTTTTTTGTTTTCGTATCAAAATCCATGTGGATTTCTGAAGTTCATACAGAACCAATCCTTGAAAGGTTTGCAATGTTTTGCAAACACCGAAAGTTTGATTACATTACGGTTACCAAATGCTTTTGTATGTTCAATATCCTTTGTATCATCTGTTGAGTAAGGATTAGCCAAGCGGTTTTTTTAAGCTAACAATATTTTGGCTTGGAAGAGGTGGTTCTTATGATGACGATGGCTGATCCTGAAAATTCTTTAATAAGAAACTATCTGAAAAATCTAGACTCTTGTCCAATGAACAGAAGTTGATTTTCAGAGACTTGATTCGTTTGCCTTCTCCTAACGAAAGATGATGAATTATTTTAATGTGTCTTGTTTTCAGGAAGCATATCGTAGTCAAGAAACCCAGGGGCTAATATATAGCATTAAATTGATACGTACATATATTAAACGTAATTTATTTTTGCCAAAATGCCGTGGGAGCCAACTACAGAATTTGAAGATGAGATTGTAAGTCTTCAGCCTCAACATGATTTTATATTTGCTTCATTATCGGAACAACCCTTCCAACCAAGGCCTCAGGCCCATATAGACTATGCTCTAAGCCGAAAGAAAAGGGGAAATTCTGAAAATAAATCTCCGAATAAAGTCAACTCAAAGTTAGAGCTCATTGGGGAAATTCAGCGTATAGCAGGCACTAAACCTTTAGGTGAGCAGCCGGCGTTAGATGATTGGGAAGATATTACCACGCTCGAACAAGAAAGTATCGCTATGATGCGCTATTTTGGTTATCATACTTCTACGGATGAACCGTTTAACGTTGATGTTACCTATGCTACGCATCCAGTGAAAAAAGGTGTTGAAATTGCTCATGTTGGGAGGGGTCGTAAGTTTCCTATTCTTCTTGACGAGGATCTATTTGAGTTGAAACCAAAACCTAAGTTGAATAATGTTGACAGCAATTCAAATGCTGGTGATCGGCATCGTTCGTTAAATGATGTTGGGGATAATCGTAAGCTTGACTTACCTCCTGTTGTGACCACCTTGGCAGCATCATCAAGTAATAGTTCTTTTTTTGCTGAAGAATCAGACAAGGACTCCAATGCACCTATTTTGCCTTGTAAACTGGCAGAAAAACAGCGTCATACTTTATTATTGAAAGGTGAAGGAATGAACTTTTACAAAAAATTAGACGACGAAACTTCATCGATGGCTGATGAACATAGCGTCTATGAAACGGCCTGCTCTTCAAGCGTATATGAATCGTCAAATGAAACGAGTTTCAAATCGTTTGATTCCTGGCCTGCCTTAGAATCATCCAAAAAGGGTACCAAAAAATCTAGTTTTAAGGTAAATGTTACAAACGCTGACACCTCCGCTGTCCGATCAATTTCGTATGCTTCCGTTGTAACGAATGCGCAGGAAAGTGAACTAAAACCTGGAAAGAAGAAGGGAAAAAAAGCAAATGGAATATCAAACGAAACTGCTTATAGTTTTCCATTGCAACGTTTCCTTACATCACGTCAAATTTGCAAAAAGAAACGTAGCCAATCTTGATCGTACATATATAATATTGAAGCTTAGTTCATTCATGCGTTCAAAAATATTTCATCTTTCCTATGACACATTTTTCCCACCGGCTATTGGAATAGTCAAAATAATGGAGAAAGCAATTAATTTCTTTTAGTTTGATCTGACTTTCTTGTATATTTCAAGACATTGTAAAAACATTTTTATTTTCTTCACACCTTAAATTGCTCTCAAGGCAAATAAATTTCCCTAAATCTTATTAAAATTAAATTGAACTTGCGAGACGAAACATTTCACTTCCTCAAGATACTCTAGTTTTTTTTTAAATATATCGCGAAACTAAAATGCTTAGTTTTTCGTCTTGTATTTACGTCGAAGTATTTCCTTCTGAATTTCCTTTTCTCTTCTCATTTATAATTCAGAACTCGTGAAGTGCAAACGAAAAGTTACACAAATTGAAATTCACCTATTTCTCGTTGGCAGAAATCATAGACTACAACAATTGCGATTGATATGGTGGTGGATCACTGCTGCTTACATCAAACAGCTTTTCGCAATAGTTTACCCCAACTTAAAGAGTCATCATCATGGCTGATATAAAAAACCTTTTTCATAACAAAAGGTGTCTGTTCTCCACATATTCATTTCGTATAACGATTTTCTCATTTTCTAAAGTTTAGTAAATCCATTCTCGTTTTCAACGCAATTCAACGAGTTCTGAATTACAGTTTTCCTTTTACTTGTTTCAATTTTACTGAATTTTCAATTATAAGTAAGTAAAAATATTAAAAAATGTCCTTCAACGCAATAACATCAAGTTTGTGATGCACAATTAAAAGATAGATTTACATTTAGTATTATTTAAAGTATCATTATGTACAATATTTTTATGAAAGTGATCTAACCACAATTTGTAATTTCTTTAATTTTAGTGAGTGTTACATTGTTTTGTTTGTTCTATTTATGACAATTTTCGTAACTTCATCCAAAATTTCTCCATAATCAGGTTATACTGCGTCAGTTAAAATATTTCTAAGCTATGGTTAAAATAATATGATAAGAGCTTGGTTCAGATTGTTTTTATTATTCAATGTAATTCTCCTAAAAACTTTTGCTTTTTTCCAATTCATATATCCCTTGGTGAGTACAAAAAGCAATTGGCGACGGGAAAAAAATTTTAAGCCCAATCTGGCCACGAAATTTTAAGCCCAATCTGGGCATAAAAATTTTTTTTAAATTTCAACTTGAAACGGTGTTTTTTTCTCGAAATCATTTTTTTTGAGCTAATCTCGCCGCTTATTTATTTAATTTCAGATCTTTTCAATGCAATTTTAATTGCAGCTTCAAAATATTTTGATAAGCTACAACTCGTTGCTTCTAAAGCCGATGAGTGGATGGATTTTTCAAAAAAGAAAAATGTATCATTTTTCCTTATCAGTTTTTTGAAAAGACCCCGAAATTTTTTAAAGGCATTTTTACTTCTCTAACTTTCTATATACAACACTAAATAAAAATTATTCAAGAGGATCCTAAGTTTTCCAAGCACTATTTGATGAAAAAAAATAAAAACTCACCTTTAGTTTTAAATTTTTCTTTATTAAAAATTCCAACAAAAGTTCGATAATCAGTTAAATCCGGCGAACGATTCATGTGTGGTTATAAAAGGTATACAAATAAATTTCTCCAGATTTTTGATAAAATTCAGGTCCATTTAATATATAATTGCTATAAAGTTTAATAATCAAAATACGAATCATCATTGCCGCTTTGGAGGCGAAATGGCCGTCGACTCATTTTCGCCCATCTTCAACTTATGTGGCCAGGCCCAGGCCTGGAGAATTTTGGGGGGGCATTGTAAAACTTCCGAACCTAAGAAGAAAACTATTTTCTTGGTTGTTGGAGACGGACGGACATATGCGAAATTTCATCATTTTCAGGGCAAACATTTGTTTGCCCAAAATACCGCAAACTATTTACTAAAAGCTTCGTAGTTTGCTGCAGTTTCATTTCAAGTCAACTTAATCGTTTCCGTAGCTTAGCGGGGCAAATTTATTGTTTGATTTCCAATCTCTCTACGCGACACAATTATTCTTCAGTCGGTCTTCGATTATAAACTAATAAATCAGAAACCGTGTCATGTTTCATTGATTTGATTCGAAAGACTTTTCCTCATACTTCTGCGCTACTTATTTATAATCAGCGCAATGTAAGTAAGGAGCAAAGATTAGTTACCTTTCACTTTTTACTGTTTTAACATTCGTAAAATAATTCTTTCAATTCTTTGTCGGAATTAACTGAAAATCCGGTGACATTAGGCGATAGGAAAATCAGCTGTTCTTGTTAATATAAGCCTTCCGAAGTCAGTTGTCTTAAAAAAAGTCGGTTTTTGCCAGGAGGTCTTACGAACCTTACAAAAGATGTGCAACCCTCGATTAATTTATCTCGAAAATTGAAAATCGCAAATTGGATAAAAGCTTAAAATAAGTCGCGGTTTTTCTATGCACACATTTTCTTGTCTGAACTTTACTAAGTTGTGGTTCTTTTGTGTCCACTGCCATGTAGCTCAGGGAGGATGTACTGTATAGAACGGCTAATAAACGGACACCGATTATAAAGTGGATGAATACAAAAATATACAACAGAAAAACATGTCTTTACCAATTTCTCTTTCGCTCAATTTTTTTTGTGATGTCAACTGAGCTAAGCCATGGTGACTCCCGCCCTCCATAATTTTAAGTGGGCTTTAATTATTGGAGATATGCAAACTCATCTCAGGCTTGTTTGCCCTCAGATATAAATTCTTGGTTAAACAGATGAACTCAAATGAACTCCCAAAGAGAGTAAAGCAGCTAATTTTGAAACTTAAAATTTTTTTTTTCAGCTGCATGGCTGTTTTCCATATTTTTATGAAAGCGGCAAAGGTGCACGGTTTATATAAAGAAGAAAAAACGTCGTGAAAACTTTAAATTTCTCAGATTAGGATATCACTTCTCATATATTTCCATCATATTATAAAAGATTCATATATTTATCAATTGAGTTAAGACTGAACAGTGAATGACAATTGCATTTTTTGGTTTTATCCATTTTAAATAAAAGGAAAGTAATTGGAACCCTACTATACATATCATATTCCTTCAAAGAAATACAAATGTCTGGTCTCGACGATTTCTCTTTAAATATTTTACTAAACAACGGCTTGTAAGGCACTTGACATTCTTCGCTTTACTCTACGATGCGTTTCATTTCTGTCTTTGGTATGTTTAGGATACTGTAGTGGGCACGAAGTGTAACAGCGACATGTTTGATGACAAGTCTAGCTATTCTCCTGGCAAGATCGCCAACAGTACTGCTTTGCTTCTTTTTTTTATATTTCTATCAAACTACGTTCTGAACGTTTATGTTTTGAAGTGCAGTAAAAGCTCTTTATTCGCGGTTTCACTATTCGCGGATGAAAAAAATGCGACCCAATTCCCATATTCGCGGCTATCAATTTTTTTTTCGCGGGTTTTGAAAATGTAAACAAACAGAATGAAGAGAACCTTATTACTCAATGAATAAAGTATTGTTGCGAAAATCCCTAGTTCATTTTAGCTAAGTAATTTCCCCAAATAACAAATTGCCTAAAGGGCGAAAAACTAAATGCTCATTCGCATCGCGTCATGCAGCTGCCGGCCGACGAAAACCATTAGCGGAAAAGCAGACAGGAATTAAATATAAAACTATGAATTTGGGTATAGTAATACGCTTTTAAAAATGTATATAAATAGAATATTTGTGGAAGGGAGTAGTTAGTAGAAAAAGAATTTCGAGTTGAGCAGCAGAACGATATCCAGAAAAATTTGCAAACCTAATTGCTGGTGGAGTATGCAAACCTGAGCAAGTATTTAATGCAGACGAAACTGCACTGTTTTGGAAGAGAATGCCAAACAATATATTTGCTTCTAAAAGCGAAAAGTCTGCTTCTGGATTTAAGACAGCAAACAGACAGTTACACTGGTGCTATGTTCTAATCACATCTGGAGATTGTGTCATTAAGCCACTGATGCTTTACAGATCGCTTACTTCTCGGGCTTTAAAAAATCAAAACGGGGACAAACTGCCAGTGTTTCGGCGTGCTAATAAGAAGCCGTGGGTTACGAGCGGTATTTTTTGCGACTTGTTCCGGAATTGTTTTGTTCCTGAAGTAGAAGCTTATTTAAAAAACAGAATTTAGACTTTAAAGCACTTCTAGTTTTGGACAATGCATCAGGTCATCCTCGCGAACTTGAAGCTAAGCATCCAGATATAAAAGTGACATTTTTATCTCCCAACACGACGAATTTGCTTCATCCTATCGACCAAGCAATAATCCACGCTTTTAAGCTCTATTACATTAGACAAACCTTCAAAATTATATTAGATAATATGGAATGTAATCATGATATGAATGTTATGGAATGTAGGAAGAAATTTGACGTAGCAAAATGCATCGTAAACATAAAAGAATCATTGAAAGAACTGAAACCACACACATTGAAGTCATGCTGGAAAAAAACGTGGCCTGCCCTGACTGTAGAAAATGACGAAGGATCTGTGCAACTTCAAACATAGCCGAAATCGCGAATGGAATAGGGCGAGATGGGTTCGAACAGATAGGATCAAGTGACATTCAGGAATTGCTTGAATCGCAAGATGAAGATTTGACTGAAACCGACTTGGACGAAATGTTAAATTCACCGCCCATTGAAGAAGAGGCTTCAACAAGCACTGGAAACGTGACATCTAATTTAAAAAGTCTTAGTGAAGGTTTAAGAAAGGCAAATGGTCTTCGCGATTTCTTTATAAACATTGGTCCGTCTGTGGAACGAAGTCCTATTTTTAAGAGGCAAATTGCTAATGCGACTGCTCCGTGTCAGTCTGAATTGAAGGAGCTTTTAAAAACTGTCAAGCAAGAGAAACCTACAAAATTCTTCAAAACATTCCCTAAGCCTTAAGATAATTAATCAAAATGTTCAAAAACTTTAATTAAATTGATTTTTTTTATTTTGTCACCTAGGAACGTATCCCCTATAATCCCATATAAATTACCGTTGCGTATTCACAGTTCCTGTTTTCGCGGCATTTTTGTGGAACGTATCCCCCGAAAATAAGAAGCTTTTACTGTATTTCATGGTATATTTCCAGTAACAAACAATTGACATAAAATGGATTGGTTATTGAATAGTAATTGCACTATCTGATTACGTTTACTCTGACGACATAAACACAAAATTGTATAAATTAGTAATTATTTATGTAACACAAGCGAATAAACAAAACAAGTACGCTACAATGAACAAAAAGAAGTTACCCTGTTCATCATCTCAAAGGTTCTGTTAATTCAGTCTACCTTTGATAATACATATTCTCTTTGCTGCTGCAACCCTCACACTGCTGCTTTAAAATTAGTCGGCGAAAATTAATAGAGTAATTTTTGTAAAAAAATAAATTCTATTTAAGAAATAATATGTAAGCATTAGGTTTAACTCTCTTATTTGATTGGGAATTGAATGAACTTATGTATATCGTGTGTGTCGTATTCCTTATTACTTAACGAGAGTTTAATGATAGATGCTACTGTACCTTTAGATTGTAATATTAGCTTCGAAGATAGAAAAATTTAAGAAGAGAGCATACCTAAATTATAATATAAAAATTGTACGTTTTTTTTTTTTTTTTTAGTTCCATTAGAGTACGAAAATGTTTCAAATTAAAAATAGTAATAATAAAAAATATATATAAATTTTTTAAAAAAGTTGCATTCGTTGTTTTATATGTTTAAACAATTTCCATACGTTTGTCGTCGATGCGCATTCAATTCTGATTTTTGTATTGCTTCGTATTGCTTCATCCTTTCAACTTATTGGCTTATTGAGTGTTTTTTATACCTAGTACGGAAGAAACTACATTTATTAGTTGATGTTCTGATACTGATTATTAAGCCAGGCATTGTAAAGCACATATTGCCTAACCACGAGACCCTGATTCACAAGCCAAAAATTCGAATCAAATATAGAGAAAGCTTTCTTTTTGGTTTAAAATCTCACATGAAATAAGAAGCTTCCTAATAAATGCAGGCTTGTCGAAGGACTAAGAGTATTTGCCTTAAGACAAGATTTTGATTGACACGTTTAGCGAACTACAAGCTTCTGACCAATATACCATACATTGTAGTGAATATAACGATTGCTTGTTTGCGCTTCAAAATAGGAAATTTTTTTCAAAAT